AAAATGTTGATTATTTAATTTTCTTCCTTAAAGATTCAGAGACTTAGGGATTAGTACTCTTATTGGGGTCCCAAAAAACAAAAATTATTAATCGGAACATTCTTGTACATCACTACAAGTAATACTTCTCCAAGTGCCATCCATTGATGGGAAGCCCGGGACATTCGCCTTTACAGTCTACGAATTGATAAGAAGTTCCTTGATATACTTTCTCTATCACAAATGAATTTTCCTACATTAGTTCAACCTTGCTACCTATCATTCAATGATTAAGAATCAATCTTTTAAAGACAATGACTGATTCTTCCACACAAAAATGTTCAAGGTCAAACTAACTTATCGTAAGCTTGAAAGATTTGTGCTTGGTAGAGTTCCATATTTTGTTGAGCTGAAAGGCACATCTCTTCTACTACTTCAAGTTCTTATAAACGTAACTGCATATTCTATTATGGAGGATTCCTAATGAAAGTAACAACTTTTATTAAGGAAATGAAAATTGCACTTCCAATGGTAGTACAACCTCAAGTCCATAAATTAAGGCAAACATTGTTGATTGAGTTGGAGCTTGACGTAAGGCAAACATTGTTGCTTATTTTCTTCAAGTGCCTTCTTAGAATCTAAGCTAATATCTTTTTGAATGCTTCAACTAGTACTTTCATTATGGGACAATATATTGTTGAGTATCTTTAATCAATGTTGTTTCTTCTCATGAAGTTGTTTAGTCTGATACTATTGAATGAAGGGTTGTTGCTAATATGACTCATCGAGGAACACTAAATTGTCATATCATGTGATCTTTGAAGAATTGCACCACATGATGAACTTTTACCACTTTCAAAAGATTGGAATCCATCTACTTCCAGAAGTAATTAGTCGCTAGCAGTATAAATCAGCCCAATCCTCTTTAGGCCTTCATCTCTTATTTACTCTATGAAAAATGTTCTATGAGCATTTCCCAACATGTGTCTAAAACAAAATAAATTTCCATACTTTGATTTTGTGTGATAAATATTCATGATTTCTCTTCAAGTTTTAGAAGAAACAAGTTAGCCCAATCCTCTTTAGGCCTTCGTCTCTTATTTACTCTATGAAAAATGTTCTATGAGCATTTCCCAACATGTGTCTAAAACAAAATAAATTTCCATACTTTGATTTTGTGTGATAAATATTCATGATTTCTCTTCAAGTTTTAGAAGAAACAAGTTAGCCCAATCCTCTTTAGGCCTTCGTCTCTTATTTACTCTATGAAAAATGTTCTATGAGCATGTCCCAGCATGTGCCTAAAACAAAATAAATTTCCATACTTTGATTTTGCGTGATAAATATTCATGATTTCTCTTCAAGTTTTAGAAGAAACAAGTTAGCCCAATCCTATTTAGGCCTTCGTCTCATATTTACTCTATGAAAAATGTTCTATGAGCATTTCCCAACATGTGTCTAAAACAAAATAAATTTCCATACTTTGATTTTGTGTGATAAATATTCATGATTTCTCTTCAAGTTTTAGAAGAAACAAGTTAGCCCAATCCTATTTAGGCCTTCGTCTCATATTTACTCTATGAAAAATGTTCTATGAGCATTTCCCAACATGTGTCTAAAACAAAATAAATTTCCATACTTTGATTTTGTGTGATAAATATTCATGATTTCTCTTTAAGTTTTAGAAGAAACAAGTTAGCCCAATCCTCTTTAGGCCTTCATCTCTTATTTACTCTATGAAAAATGTTCTATGAGCATTTCCCAACATGTGTCTAAAACAAAATAAATTTCCATACTTTGATTTTGTGTGATAAATATTCATGATTTCTCTTCAAGTTTTAGAAGAAACAAGTTAGCCCAATCCTCTTTAGGCCTTCGTCTCTTATTTACTCTATGAAAAATGTTCTATGTGCATGTCCCAGCATGTGCCTAAAACAAAATAAATTTCCATATTTTGATTTTGTGTGATAAATATTCATGATTTCTCTTCAAGTTTTAGAAGAAACAAGTTAGCCCAATCCTCTTGAGGCCTTCGTTTCATATTTACTCTATGAAAAAATGTTGTATGAGCTTTTCCCACTTCCCTTTTTCATGTTCACATATATTTTCTTTTAATTTCTCTCTTTTTTTTCTTTATCAATTTTCTCTTATAGTTTTTTCCTTGGAGGAGCTGGAATGGACAAAATGAAAAGATTGTTTAAGTAAAGACTTGGAAGATTCACATATGAACATTTCCAAAAATGGGGTAAATATGTATCATTATAATAAAGAGCATATAAGGCCATCATAGAGTTAAGAAGGAAATATGTTAATATTTTCAAGCAAGTAGTAATGATGTGCCACTGGAAGAGTAATATGGTGTTTTTGTCATTATAAATGAATGAAAATATAAATTTTCATGATGTACTATATTTTAATTAATTGTTTATGTTATTAGTTATTATTATGAATTCACATACAAGCTTTTTTAAAGTTATTTTCTTATAAGTAGTTATTTCTCCAACACTGATGCTCAGAGATAATGATGACTTCTATAAATGCATGATATCTATCCATGCTTAACATGTCTCCATTAAAATTCTAAGAAATAAAAAGAGTACCACAATTTCCAAGAAAAAAAAAATTGTTGAAGATTGAGTAGAAGCATAATTAGATGCATGTTTTTGCATGCTCTCTTACAAAAGTTTGAAGCCGTTTTATAATTTTATGCAAAAGTTAAAGAGTAGTCAATATATATTGGATAATTTTCTAATAAGGTTGGAAAAAAATTACATACTCTAAAAAATTTATGTTAATTTGAAGTTTTATACATATGGATGAGAAAGAGAACGAGTGAGGATGTATCATTGAGATTATTAGATAACTGCAAAGATAGAGAGATAGAATTGAGTAATGAGTGCAATATGATTTCAATAGTTGGATACATTATTGCATGGCTAGATACAAAAGGCGAGAAATCTATTGAATGTATGAATTCACTAACTTTAATTTTTGATATGATGCATAAATCCCTTATTTTACATTAAAAGAAAAGAAAAACGGAATCTATCAAAAAATTATGGACCATTCATTATTGAGTTGAATAAATTATTTATGTACCATGGAGCAATAATCTCCAGGTATGATATTCCAATGAGGAATGACTCATTTAAGTGGCTTAAAGAAGACTCAACTTATTTCCTTAGAAAGAAGTGAACCATTTTTAAGTTATGGGCTAATAAGAACACATATATTCTTTTAGTGAATTGGAATATAATATATTGAATGATATCTGGCGTTTCACTCTTTACATAATCCATGATGTATGACTTTGAACCCACTTTCACTTTAGTGCAGACCATACAGACAATGATGAGTTCATCCTATAATTTGGAATATTCAAGAATGATTTGGAACTTTTCTTCACTAAAGCTACTAAAAAGTATATGTAATGGACTGTCACATATAGCCTAATGAGTGCATTCATGTGCATATTTAGTGAAGATTGTGAAGTATATGTAATCTAACACAAAAATTCCCATTTTGCTTGAAAAAAAAAAAATCAATAGTTACAAGTATACTTTTTTTTTTTCTTTTTTTTTCTTTTTTTTCCCTTTTCTTTTTTTTAGATTGTCTATATATTGCACAAAAATGTAGATTCATAGGTTTACTCAAACATAATTGAATCATTCTAATAAATATTAGGAAGAGTTACACATATACTACTCAATCCATATGTTACATATATAAC